ACATGACCGAGGGATCATCTGTCGTCTCATTTAACACATTCCACTTGTAAGCCCAAGTGGGTCGCCGTAGTGGGTCACCTTTGTTGTCCCAATCATCGTACTTCACGGTCTTCGGGCGTCCAACCGCCAAACTCTCCCAACTCCATATGGAAAGTGCGAGCAAACAACCACCAATACCTCCAGATGACCTACAACAGGCTTCATCCAACTGCACATAAAAGAGAACATGGTTGAATTAAGAGCAAGATCGCATTCATAATGTAGCAATGAAGTGAAAAAGAAACAACTTCATACCTGTCTATACAAGTAAGCCAGTGTCGCCGAACCCCAACTCCAATTGCTATCGAAGACGGTCAACGCCTTCAGCCACATTCATGGAGCATTCTTGCCTGTGCCATCAGCAAACATAGTCCTGGATATCACGTACCACATGTAGACACGAGCATATGTCTTGACCGTGTCCTCATTAGCTTCCGGTGGGCAAGTACCAAAGTGCTCAGTAATTCACGTGAAAGGAGCACCGGCTGCGACTCTTTCCTTCTTCTTATCTTCTGCTGCTGGTTCCCGAGGCTCCGGTGGAACCATACCGATAAGGGCATTCATCTGCACGCACCACCCATCAAAATCGGTGCTCATACATAGAGGATTCCCATCGATGAGAAGACCGGTGATCATAGCAATATCTTGGAGCGTCACGGTCATCTTCCCGGTCCGAAGATGGAAACTGTGTGTCTCCGGCCGCCAATGATCAATAAGCGCGGTGAGTGCTGGAGCATTGTTGGGCGGCGTCGATCGTCTGACCATCTGAATGAAAGGGAGAAGTCCCGTCTCCCTTACATACGGTGTGTATCGCTCATCATAGCGCATCCACCCAAGGGTGACCCCGTGAGAACAAAGCTTCAGAGGTGCAAGCTCCTACAAACAAACAAATCATAACATTACATATAGGGCATTTGTGTTTGAAATAAACACGAAATTCATAAAACCGACCACTTTCATTATTACCGGCTGCTCCACCGCCATAGTGTACGACCGGTGTTGTTTGTCCCAGTGATCATCGAGAAGCCAAACCATCCTAACAATTTTGAAAGAAAGCTTTCTTGTCAACACGATTATCTTTTGAATACAAATAAACTAAAGCACGCCTAGTACATACAAAATTCAAAGCATATGTATCCAAAGCATTCTTGTCAACACAAATATAATTTCAACACAAATAAACTAAACTAGGCCTACTTCATGCAAAATTTAATACAAATCTCTTTTCCATATAAAATAACATGTCAACCTATGTATCCAAACCATATCTTTTCAATAAAATATACTCCCTCCGTTCCAAATTACTCGTCGAAGAAATGGATGTATCTAGAACTAAAATACATCTAGATACATCCTATACCTACGACAAGTAATTCGAAACGGAGGGAGTACTAAACTAGGGTTGCTAAATTAGGTATCTAATACATGCAACATTCTAATCTAACAAGGGTTCCCCAAATCTAATACATGCAAGATTCAAACAAGGATTCCCCAAATCTTCAAAATATCATACATTCTACGGATAGAAAGAAGGGGATCGAAGGAGAGTACCTTCTAGGATGGATTGGTGAAGGAATCCACGGACCAAATCGTCACATCTGAAGAATTTAGGAGAGGAGATTGAGAGGGGGAGAGGAGAGGGCCACCACGATTTCTTCTGTTTGAATCTTGCAATGGGGTTGGGGGAGGAGAGGGCCGCCGCCGCTGGATAAGTCACAGTGTAGCGCCCGAGCGCTAGGCGCTGCACATTACATGTGTGGCGCCTAGCTCGGAGGCGCTGCACTGCTGGGTGCGGGCCCAGGGGCTGTCACGATGGACTGGCGTGCAACGCCCCCGAGCTGGACGTTGCACCGCAGTGTGTGACGCCTGCATGGCGGACGCTACACAAAAAGGTCAGGGACATGAAATTGTTTGACGGGCAGTTTATTCTGTGAATTGATTTCGTCCAGAGGTCAAAACTGTCAAATTTGCCGGCAGCGGACGCAAGGAAGAAAATGCAAGCGGGGGAGGTGGCAGCGTGGAAACGCTCATCGAGGAGAATCCGCTGCCTTGACCCCGAATCCTTCCGACGCTTTTCTCGACGACGCTTTTGCAGCCGATGGCGTCGCCGTCCGGTCGAATCGATCCGCTGCCGCTGCCGCTGCCGGGGCCCTCCTCCCTGGCCGGCCCCTACCACAGTCCAAGGAGTACTGAAGGAAACGGGCTGGGCAGGGCGGGCGACCGACCGACCGACCGGACCCGAGAGCGCTGCGTCCTCGCTGAACAAGAAGGAAATCGTAGAGCGGAAGTCCACGGCTTCCTTTAACAATTCGCGCGCGCGCGCGCATGCAGCGACGAAGGTTGAGATGACACGAGACGAGATGACCTGTCGCCGGAGCTTTCTGCTTCACCGTGACTTGTTTACGGGCGCACCGCAGCCGCAGGTGGGCTCACCTCTGCCGCGCGTTTTGTTTCGTCCAAACCGTCGTTGCTTTTGAGGTACTTTTTCCCGTCGAGGCTGCCTGCGCGCTCGCATCGCAGCAGATCACAATGATTCTCCCGTCCGACGTCCCCTCCCCTCCCTCCCCTAGCCTCCCTCCTTTCTCCTCCTTTGCCGTTAGATAGGGGCATCATGGCATGTCAATGCGCTCCTCCTCCTCCTCCTTTCTTCCCCTTGAATCCTTCCCTCCCGGGCCATGATTGCAACGGGATCGCTCGCGTCGCCCACACTTCTTCCCATGGGCCATGATTGCAGCCATTTGTCCGCGGTAGTAAATACGGACACCACCTAACAGAACACGAAGGGGAAACGGATGCACGTGCAGCCGGTCCGATCACGGCAAGGGCAGGGCATGCCACTGCGGGCCACGTGATGGGCCACGGGTGGATTGGACGAGATGGGACGGAATGGCACCGGAGGCCGAGGGGAATCTTTTTTTTAGCATCAGTACAGACACAAGCGCTCATATACACGCGTATACACTCACCCCTATGAACGCACACACGCACACCCTAACCTTATGAACACCTCCGAGAGACCGAGTGGAATCTGCCATCAATGCGACGCGGCCCCGAAGATTCTCCTGGGTGGGGTTAACCAACCAGCAAAACACCGCCGTTGAACAGTGTCCCCGGTGAGGGAAGGGAAGGGAAAGCCGCGCTCGCCGCTGGGGACGCCGGGACAAGCGAACCGAGCGGACAAAGATCTGGTACAGCACCGCCATTTTTTTTCGAGACAGGTACAGTACCACCGCTACTGCTGGTGGCGGTACCTCGCTGACAGGGCCCAAGGGCCCGCGGGCCCGCCTGCCGCGGGGCGCACGCGGGGCCCGGCGGTTTTCCTTGCCCCGGGCCAGGGCCAGGGGTGGTAGGAGTAGTAGATAGAGCCGGCCGGGAGGCCCACGGTGCGCTCGTCTCGTCGCTCCGACGACGAGGGATGTAAAAGATCTGTCCCGATTCCCAAGCGCTCCGCTCTCGCGGCGTCGCTTTCGCCGGACACCACCACCTGCCGCTTTCCCCTCCCATTCCCACTCGCACCACCGCTCCCATCCTCGCCCCGCCCGGACCCCAGCGCCCCGATTGGGCCATCCATCCGCCTCCGCCTGATTGGCCTCGGGCACCAGCACGCCCGCACGCCCGCAGCATTTGATTCCCTCCCGCACTGTCTCCCTCCCTCTATCCCCCGACGAGCGCGGCGCACCTGCGACGAGCGGCCGGGTCCCGGTCGCGGCGGGGGCGGCGGCTGCTGAGCTCTTCCGTGCCGGTAAGTAAACGCCGGCTGCCCGGCTCCACCCTGCCGGTCTCTTTACTGAATTTCTTGGACTCGCCTTTGGCGGCTGAGCGTGTCTGTTGGTGTGGGAGGAATGGGCGGGTGTTTTGCCGAGAGGTTTTGTCGTCCGTGAGGTCGAGATCGCGGCTCTGTGAGGCGTATTGCGGTGGAATTGTGTGTCAGAGGCCGGTGAGTGACTGCCGCTCCTCTCTTGCTGGTGGTAGGCGTAGTTAGTGTGAATTTTACTGACCGCGGAGTGGATTTTCTGGAGCTTCTAGTGAGATTCCATTGGCTGCGGCCTGTGGGTGGATGTGAGAAGAGCGGTGGTGATCACGTTTGGGTGGCGGCGGCGCTTCTGACGTTTTGGGGGCGAAGCTTGGTCTGGTGAGCTAGTGTTTTGCCGATTTCCTGGCTCATAAACCCGTTCCGGTTATGAGCTGTGCGTTGTTGCTGTGCTGACTTGTGCGACTCTGAGGCCGGAAAGGCCCGGTTGGAATCTTGTGCTGGCCCTGGTAATTTGCACATGGCCTGTGATCTCGATTGATTCGACCTGTAGCGTGAAATTTTGCCCCCCTCCAGTTTCATTTGTTGTGGATCATTTGCCATGGCCTCGTCTAGTGACTTCGATTGGCATGGCATTTGGGGACGGCTGAGATTACCTCCAGGGCTTCAGTTCTACTGACTCTTATGGGGAAGCTAGCTCAACTGGTCTTCCTCTGTTACTTGCAATTTTTTTTTGTCTTTCTACCATGTAGAGTTCAATAAGCAGCCTGCGATGAACTTTGTCCTCTTCATATGATTTGGAGAGGTTAAAGTCCCTCCATAAGTCGTCTGTAACCTTAAAATTTTAACAAGTGTTGGCTATTTGGATATTTGATACTTGATAGTACCACTAGGTATACAGATTTGTTTTTGGTGCTCTGCTGTGTCAATATTGTCTGTCATATTCAGTTTCGCCCTCTTTGCTCTTTTACTAGCAGCAGAACTCCTTTAACTATAAACCAGGAGACTTACCAACTTCTTGAGATAAATATGCTGATCGGGATTTCATGAACTGTCTAAGAAACGATGAACTTTCCTCATACCAGAAAACGCTCAGTATGCTGTATTTACATTTTACCGTCAACTTGATATGTTCTGTTTAGATATACAGGATGGCATTAGAAATGTAGACTTGTTTCATCCTAAATTATAACATTTCTTGGCCTTGCTCATGTGTATGACAATTTCTTACAATTGTTGCAGTACTCTCATGATGTACCATGCTAAGAAGTTTTCTGTGCCCTTTGCACCACAGAGGGCTCAGAATAGTGAGCATGTAAGTAACATTGGAGCTTTCGGTGGATCCAACATAAGCAACCCTGCTAATCCTGTAGGGAGTGGCAAACAACGTCTAAGATGGACCTCTGATCTCCATAGTCGTTTTGTGGATGCAATCGCCCAACTTGGTGGACCAGATAGTGGGTATTCTCTCTTAAGTATTAATTTTTGTGGTTTTACTTGATATGATGTATAAGTTTCGTTTATTTTGTTGGTTCATTCTGCTTGTTACTTAATATGACCTATAAATTTCGTTTATTTTGTTGGTTCATTCTGCTTGTTACTTAATATGATCTATAAATTTCGTTTATTTTGTTGGTTCATTCTGCTTGGTTTCTCATGAACCTTGTCAGCAGCACAATTTCTGAGTGAAAACATTTTTAGATGGTGTGGGACAATGCATATCTAGAACCTGCAATTTGGTGGTTTTATGTCGAATCCATTGTATATCATGCATATTAACAAACTCAAGTTTAAACTAATTTTGATATTCCAAATGTTTATGAAACAGATTTATGCATTATTTTTTATGATGAGATTGCTGCATATATCAGGTCATGGACTGTGAACACACAAGTTTCTCTTCCCCTCAAAACACAAGTTCCTCATGTTTCAGTGATTCATGCTAGTCTGCTAGAAGTTGTTAATATGGTCCTTTGGAACTGTGTCTGCCATGTTACCTTACCCAATCGCATTGGAAACTGTTGATGTATCGATAACCCTAAACAACCTTCTATAATAGTTGTTTATTTATTTGAAGTACACAAGGTACAATGCATCGGAGATTTGTTAATGTATTGGTATCATCATATCTTCAGGAGCAACACCTAAAGGAGTACTGACTGTAATGGGTGTACCGGGGATTACAATTTATCACGTGAAGAGCCATTTGCAGGTAAAGAGTGTCTCTTTTGAGGAGACAGCTAATAAATATTTGCCTGGTCACTAATACTCTATTTCTCTTGTTGCTTGTGTAGAAGTATCGCCTTGCAAAGTACATACCAGAATCTCCTGCTGAAGGTAAATGCCCTTCTATGCTTCATTGCCTTCCTAGCACACTCCCCTTCTTGCCTTCCTTCATACCGAGAATGCTTTGGTTTTCTAAAGTGGCAGCTGGTGTAGGTTCCAAGGACGAAAAGAAGGATTCTAGTGATTCATTCTCTAATGCAGATTCTGCACCGTAAGTGATCTTTACTCAATTGTCTGTGCACATGATTGTATCCTCTGCTAACATAGGCTTTTTATGCTGGTTAATATCATGCTAAAAATACATCACATATTTACAGAGATATTCTTCATTTATCTTTTCAGGGGTTCACAAATCAATGAAGCATTGAAGATGCAAATGGAAGTTCAGAAGCGGCTCCATGAACAACTCGAGGTTTGTGATGAAAACATGTGAACTTCTTTGAATCATATTATTTCTTTTTTCCTATTCAATGGATTTTGCCACATCCATGCTGTACTTTTTTCGGGCTGTCAGCTGGGGATTTACTCCAACAATCAGATTTCTTGCCCCATTCTACTAAACCATTATTCACCGAAGTTATACTTGGGTGGGTTCCTTGTAAATGACTTTGTCCTCGATTGCCTCTTGCTAACAGTTCTTTTATTTTGCCTGCACTATTTATTTTTGAATCTGCCATCTCTGAGATGTATTCTTCGGAGCCAACCTAAATTTTTGTTCCAAGCCTTCCAAGACTAGACTAAATCATCACATGTTACCATGTCAGGTTCAAAAGCAGTTGCAGCTGAGAATCGAAGCACAAGGGAAGTACTTGCAGATGATCATAGAGGAGCAGCAAAAGCTTGGTGGCTCACTTGAAGGTTCTGAGGAGAGGAAGCTTTCACATTCACCACCTACCTTAGATGACTACCCTGACAGCATACAGCCTTCTCCGAAGAAACCACGGTTGGATGATCTGTCAACAGATGCGGTCCGGGGTGTTACACAGCCAGGGTTTGAATCCCATCTTATTGGCCCATGGGATCAAGAACTCTGTCCGAAGACCAACATATGCGATCCTGCATTCCAAGTGGATGAGTTTAAGGCAAACCCTGGTTTGAGCAAGTCATAAAGCAAAGCCTTCCTTACAAAGGAAACACTTCTGAGCTATTAACCTCCACGGATGGCCGATCGCATGTGAATATATATCGTCTTAACAACAGAATGAGCGCTGTTTGGACCTTCAGATCTGCCCCAACCCCTTCAGTCACGACTAAGTGTTGTTGTCGTTGTCGTATTTCGCCATACAGATCTTTGTAATTATGAGGGTGTTTCTAAAGTCCCCAGTTAGCAATCCCCTTCTTTTGAAGGATAATCCTCAACTGAAACATGTAGCAAGAAACAGAGCACGCTTACACGCAATACCAAGGCCCTAAAGCTACATGAAAGCTATCTGGTAGTTGTACATTTCTGTTTAGTTCAGTCATTGAATCTGCTTACCTTATATTGACCCCTGTGCCATAGATCTGGGATGTTGGCAGCAACATTTTTATTGACAAATCAACTTGGCTACTGGGTAACTTTGCATTTACGAGGTTGGTTGTACCAGTTGCCATATTGGGGGATAGTCCTGTGCTATGAATAGAGCACTGGGCAATGTTCCTTTCAAGGAGTAATAGTCCATACAGTAGCATATTTTGTTACTTTGAGAAGATTCACAAGTTCGGCAGAGCACAGGCTTTCGATGCTAGTGGTGCTCAGAATCACATACCTTGGGTTGAGAAAAAAAGGATATAGTAGCTAGTAAAAGATCAGATAGCTATGAATTAAAGGGCTACTCCATTTGTTTACTCGAGCTATTTTTTTTTTACATTTTGTGGAGGTGGATGCTTTGATGCATGCATTTGGCCGTTCGTGCCAGATAATAACCCACAGCTGTGCGTTTCTGGAAGAACAAAAACTGTTAGCACCAAAGCATTTGCCAGCACATTCTCTTCTAGGCAACTATTTTGGACTTATTGTCAAGGCAATGTTTGGATTGAGGGATATGGTCATTGCAGCTCAAAGCCATGTTTTCTTTGATAAGAACGGCGGTATAACCTCGCAAAAAAAAAAGTAGAGAAAAGAAAATCAATGGTGGTCTACGGAAAATTCGTATCTCTATGGTGGGTTTGAGGTTATGGGTGAATGGTGAAAAATTCATGCCCCATCGCCTACCAACCTCAAAATATTAGAGCATCTTCAATAGGCGCCGGTCGTGCCGCGCGCAAAAAACATATATGCCGCACGCGCATCGGCTGGTTTGGCACGGCCGCGCTAAAATATAGCGCGCGCGTCGCTCCAGCAGCGCGCGCATCGCTCCAGCAGCGCGCCAAAATGCAACGCGCGCGACTCGCCGGTGCATTGCATATGGCATATTTCAACACAAAATGATGCACATTTTTAACACAATAAAAATTTCACACAAACAAGTTGATGAAGTTCATGCCCACAAGTTTAAAATCATGCCCACAAGTTCATCCAACCAAGTTCAAAATGCAAATCAAGTTCAATACACAAAGGAAAGACACATCATTCCTTGTCCTTGTCCTCGTCTTCGTCCTCGTCCTCATCTTCGGAAGACGATTCTTCCACCTCCGAAGATGAATCTTCCTCCCTCTCCTCATCGCGCACCGCATCACGTGAAGCTCCGACGGTGTTGGCAAGATCTTCAACGGCATCTTCATGGGAATGTGTGCGAGGAGGCTCATCGAAAGACATTCCGCCCATGGCGGCCGGAGGTGCACCCATGCCTCCCATGAGAGAAGCAAAACTCATGCCTCCCATCGTGGCCATAGCGTCGGGGATGCTCCAAAGCCACCCAAGCCACCCATGCCACCCATGGCGCCGAAACCACCGCCACCCAAGCCACCCATGCCACCCATGGCACCGAGGCCACCGCCACCCATGGTGCCGATGCCACCGCCACCCATTGCACGAACCATGGCTCTTTTTTGGATCAAGACTTCTTGTTGGGCAAGATTGACATACTCCTTTTGCGCCGCATTGAGGTTAGTTGTGTCCAAGAAGAACAAGTGATTCTCCCATTCCAACAATCTAGTTCGCTCCTCATTGCTCACCTTCCTCTCCTCCAAAGCCACCTTCCTCTCCTCGGCCGCCACCCTCCTCTCCTCGGCCGCCAACCTTCTCTCCTCGGCCACGACATCTTGGGTCCTTGCCATTTTCCTCACCTCGTTGGCTTCTTTTCTTGCCTTCACAATAGCTTCCATAGCATTTTTGAGCTCATTATCTCCTTTCCTCTTTTTCTTTTCGGTTTTGTCTTTCTTGCACCCATCCGGTCGCTTTGGCTTCGAGTATGAAACCGAGTTGGGTGTGGGGCTTCTCTTGCCGTCATCACTTGATGCATCATCCTCCTCCTCATCATCATCCAACTTAATTGTTCGCTTCCGTTTGTCGCTCAAATGCAAATCATCCAAATCTTCACGCTTCTTCCATTTCTCATCATCCTTCAACACATCATAGCAATGAGGCAAAGTAAAGACTCTTCCTTTCTTGATCTTCCCCTTCTTGGTTTTCCTCTCCTCTTTTTTGAACAAGTTTTGCGTAAAGTTGTACTACATGAAAACAAAGCAAGTTAGCACCAACAACAAGCAAAACAAAGCAAGTTTAGCACCAACATGTAAGATGAAATGGCACTTACTCTATCGTCCTCATTTGTGCCACTTGGGTTCAACTTGTCAACCGCCTTTTGACAAGCCGCCCACCTTTGACAATCTGAGTTGATTGTCGACCACCGGGACCTAAGTGATCGGTTGGAGCGGTCAATTCCACTCATGTTGCGAGCATCAAAGTGTTCCTTCATCCGGTTCCAATAAGCATCTCTACTTTGATCACCTCCAACGGATGGATCCCTCGACACTTGCAACCAAGTATTGCATAGTAAGATGTCATCGGTGTTGGTGTAATTGCCCGCTCTTCCTTTCGGTGCGTCGACAATGCCCTCACCCTCCTCGTCCACCTCGAACTCATGGTCTTGAAAATGCATGTCATTGGTTTGAGACCAATGCGAATTGTTGGAGCCAACACCCATCGCTGACATGTATGCATCATCATTGAGACTACAATTTTTTTTGCACAATGCAAATAAGCTATCTATATGTGACGAATGCATTCAAAAAATAACAAAAAAAAATGAAAAGTTAGAATTTTTTTACCTTGGAGGCATTTCGTCGAACATGTTGTGCGCGCCGGCCGCTGGCTCAACGAGTGAGCTTGCCGGCGCTTCGGCAGCCGCCGCGCCCGTCGCACGCCCCACAAGCTTCTTCCTCTTCGCCTTGGAGGTGCCGGAGCCGTCCGCCGCCTTGTTTTTCTTCGCCGATGTCTTGCCCTTCTTTGGCCGCGCCGCATTAGGGAGCTTTGAGGAGGAGGGGGCGGCGGCTCGGGCCGGCGCCGGCGCGATGCCACCCGCCGCCGAGGTCATCCACGGCGGCATGAAGAGGCCGTGTGATGGAGTCATGTACCTAGGGTAGGGTCACGGACCTGGTCTAAGTACCCTGCCCAAGGACACCCTTAGAAGAGATCACCTTCCAGTCGACCTACGAGGGATTCACTCGACTGACTTGAAGGACTCGACCACGAAGACTCACTCGACCACCAGAAGGTCAAGAGGCACTCTGCACTGCAACGGTCTGTAATTAAGTAGACTTTATGATAGTAAAGACACTTTATGTGGGGCGTTACCAGTAACGCCCCGGACTTAATGTACCTTAAACCCTTCATTACGTGGGTTGGCTGGGGTCCTGGCGCTCTCTATATAAGCCACCCCCCTCCACAGGCAGAAGGGTTCGGCACCTTGTAATCCATACACACATAATCCACTCGACCGCCTCCGGGCTCCGAGACGTAGGGCTTTTACTTCCTCCGAGAAGGGCCTGAACTCGTACATCTCTTGTGCTTACAACCTCTCCATAGCTAGGACCTTGCCTCTCCATACCTACCCCCACTCTACTGTCAGACTTAGATCCACGACAGTTGGCGCCCACCTTGGGGCCGGTGTTTTAGCGATTTTGTGGAGAAGTTGCGATTCTTCCGAGTACTTTCATCATGGTAGCTGCTGGAGTTTTGGTCGAGGGTCGAGAGATTCGTCTCGGTGCTCTCACCTTCGTCGCCGACGACTCCGCCTGGCTCCAGGAGGCTTCACTCGACGTCGATGCGCTCCCCGTCCGCGGTGCGACGCATTTTCGCGCATGTGTCCGCGGCGTTCTGCTGTGGCAACCGTCGACCCCATATCGGTCGACTCCCCTATCGACCACCCTCCCGGTCTCCCGCCAGCGCAAGCGCTCGGGTCGGTCGAGGCTTCAGCGGTGGGTGAGACACGCGGTGGCTCGCCAAACGGCCACCACCCAAGTTGCGGCAATCGAGCCCGACGAATCTCTCTACGGCCTGTTCGATCTGTCGACTGGCTCCGTAGAGACTGCATCCGAATGCGATAGCAGTGATCCAGCGGCGGAAATCTTGATGGTCGACGGGCCTCGCAGCCCCCCTGGCTTCGCCCGTGATGGTGGGGCAGGCGACGAAGGCGACCCCGCACGAGACCACGAAGAGTACCAGCCCGAGCCACTCGACTCTCTGCAAAGAGAGGAACTTCGCCGCAGGAACATGGATGCCCTGCATACTCCCATCGCAGGAGAAACCCCCGAGGCTCGCGCCTTGGAGGAGGCACGTTTGGCCAATTTGGCCGAACGCGCTCGCCTGGAGAATCTTCAGCGAGCACTCGACGAGCGCGCGCGGCAACGAGTTCCCGACGCCAGTCGACGTCAACTCTTCCCGCCGACTCAGGTATATCGAACCCCAATCCAGAATTTAGCAGCTGCGACCCGTATAGCAGAGTCCATCCAGCCCTCTCAGTCGGAAGCTGGCAGAGGCTTGATGATCAGGGATCTGCTCTGGGCAGCAGGAGATCAGAATTCAGCTGTGTCGCAGTCGCGCAACAGAATTCACAGTCGATCCATCGCTGCGAATACGGTTCAGTCGGCTCACAGTCCCAGATCGCCTCCGCGGCGTGAAGGGCGCGAGAATCGGCGAGACTAATATGGAGACCGACACGACCGAGATGATAGGCGTCGAGTGCCC